TGGCTGGAAACTCTAGGACTGTAAGCCGAAAAAAATTAGAAGTAAATGTCTGACACATATATAAATTATATTATGTATATATTTTATGTTTCCACTTCCAATAGAGATATCAAAAATGCATACAGACAGTTCGACAGCAGGACGGACATTCAACAAAACCCATATACCCAGTTTTGACATTGCGAATAGCGTATAAATATGCTTTCAAGAAAAAACGCCTCAATTATATCGCAGTTTTTTCTCTTAATGATGGGTAATTCAAGCCTTCGGCATATTGCAACATCAAATAAAGAAACAACGAAGTTTTCTTTAATTTCAGCCAGGCTCAGCATATTACAAATTAAATATAATTGGATTTTGCTTTCAAGGAACAGAAAAAAACTTTCAACTTCAAATAAAATCCTTATGAATTATGGCCAGTTAAGCAACTCATCAATTGATTCCAGAAGATTTTAGGGAAGAAACACATACAAATCTGTTCATTTAGCTCTAACTGGAAGCTAATTAATTAATGCACGACTGCATTAAGTGTAGGATATGTGGACTTGTATTAAGGAAAGTGTGGTTGGGCTCTTGATTTAGCCGTGTGATTTATTTAAAGGCAGGTGTGCCTTTTATTAAAGGCAAATAAATCAAGCTGACGACGGCGTCAACGCTTTGAAGAGGGTTACAGCATGTGGGCAAGACGGTATGATGGCCTCTTCGTATATTGGGGGTCATGGGTTGATGCAGGGCAAAGGCTGATGTTAAGACAAGTGTCTGGCCCTTGGGCATGGCTTGTACTTGGCGCAGGCAACAGGCAGCACACGGAACTGTTTTTCCGGGCAAACAAATGACCTGGAAAAGCCAAACGAAAAGCCAAGCACAAAAGAAATGGAAAAATATGGCAGGAAAATGCGAATGCTGCACAACAACTTGGAAACGGAAACAATTGCAATGACTGAGCAAATGTTTAGCATCTGTCCCGGGGCCACTCGGCGCAGGAAGTGCTCCTCAATGTCGCCGTCGAGGCAAGCTCTACTCCGAGCGTATATTTCGATGCATATTTAGCTTGTAGCTGAACGGCACTAAAAATTAAGTTTGATTTCTCATCGAGTGCTTAGCTGAGTGTAATACTGTCAAGCCTTATCCGGGCCACGTAATTCGAGGCAGAACTTTTGCTAGGTCCCAGCCTCCCTTTGTTGGCATCAATTGCATAGACAAATGCCAAAAACACTTTAGCACACTTTGGCTGCGGCTCGTATAAAAAAGCACTTAATGCAATCTGATAAAAATAGAGCGCAGGAAAATAGTTGGCTCGCAAATGGAGGCTCGTGTAATGCATACCTAATTAGCTTAATGGCCCTTTTGGCCATAAATTATACGAGATTAGGGCGCCAAAAATTTGCATTCACCTGACCCACCTGACCATCACCGGTGGGACAGGAACATAAAAACTTTTCACCCCGACCGATGCGGACCGATAAAATTATTGTCAGCCCTGTAAACGAATAATGATTATAATAATTGTTGTTCGGTTTGGTCGGCATAAAAATCAATAAATTTCTGCATGGAAAAATGCCAATTAAACTGTTTTTAATGCATATGCAATGCATAAAGCGGAAATTAATTACGTAATTAGCTCAATGGTTGCCCAACGGGAGCTCTTGCTGAAAACGAATTTCCACACTGAACCTCATCAGTCAGGCCCACCCCCAGAGAGCATTCATTGGAATAAATATATAACATATTCCTGGACTTATTGGCACTGACAACTGTTCAATATATTTTATTAACAACTAACTGAATGTGCTTCAAATTCCAAATAGTATTTCAGCTATTGTTTAATTTATAATAAACCAATTCACATTATATTTGTACAATTGAAACGAATATGTAAAGTTTCAATATGTATACTTTCGGCATGAAATGAAACAAAATTTTTTTTTTAAGGCTTATGCACAAAATAAAAACTATTGAAGGAGATTCAACTTCAAAGCAAACACAAAATTTACCCCAGATAGATAGATAGATAGATAAATGGATTTATCTTATCTTATTTGATATTGATGCCAATTTTGGCTAGAGATCAAATTTAGCCCCAAAACTTCTCTATGATAGTAGGTACGACAATACAATATTTTCAGTAAAACGAGCAATATAAAATTATAAAAATAAATTATATAAAATAAAAATGTATACAAATCCACCCACACCAAATGCAGTTCGAGTTAGGGGCGGGGAGAGCCATAAAATGAAAGATATTTGATCTGTATCTGATCTGATCTGTATAATACTATTATAAAAGCTACATGTCAAATTTGGTGACTCTAGCACTTCAAAGAGATTTGCTCGAAAAAACAATGATCTCAATATAGATTTTTAACGAATAATTCGAAGCGGGAAAAGTTATTGATTAACGGAAACCAATTCGGAGGACCTACTTTCAATATTTAAAGTGCCTAGTTCTTATAGATTACGAGATCGACGCGTTCGTACTTACGGACAGACGGACGGACACGCTGACCAAGAATATATTCAGTTAATGGGGTCGGAGAACATACATTAAGCTATTTTTACCCATTTTCAAGGATATACAATAATAGCAAGCTAAGATCTGAACGAAAACCTGACTTTATGGATGAGAAAAACCAGATTAAGAAGTCGGTTCAAACCTTAAAGTAAGCCACCAAACATTTTCACGGATGTGAACGACATTTCTTTATTAAATTTGTTAAATATTATTTAATTTTAATTTTAGGTTCTTGAAATGTTCATTTAGATAATTATCGTTTAACAAGGTGTTGATGAGCTGAATAAGTACAAAGTACTTACAAAGTTAAGAATTGGGTTTGCTTTTAAAGTTAAATAACTTTGCTTTTGGTTTGCCTTTTAATTAATTTACTTAATTATAAACACAAAAGTCCTTTTAGCGCATTAAGCGAGGGGTTTAATTAATCAACAGGCCGGGCAAAGCATATTCTGAAGCTCATCGCAAATTTACGCATGTGTATGCAAATATTTTGATGTCTAATTTACATGACACATACGCACCGTTGGACGAAACGCTCTCGCGGTTAATTGATGCAAAATATTGTACATATATCAGCATAAACATGTGTGTGTGCGGAATTTGAATATAGCCCAAGAGAGGCGACTGGAGGTTTCTACTATATACGCAAGATATACTCTGTAAAATTCCACGGACTGTGGAGATGATGATGAGGCGTGCTTTTCATGTGGCAATGGCAACAATTAGCACAAATAGACGACTCACAGTCACAATGACAACAACAAAGGGACATACACACACACATCTATACACACCCATACACACACACATCTATACACACCTATACACACACATGAACACATGCTGCTCTTGCACTTAGCATTTGACTGTTTATGCTTTTCTCAGTACCAAAATATCTTTCTCTGTGTGTGTAAGTATCTCGGTGTGTGCCGGCAAAGTGCACTCACTCTGCTGACAACTGCAAACTACTTATGTATGTTACAGGCACTGACAAGGCGACGTATTCAGAATCAGTCGGAGCCAGTCAGTCATGGCAGGAGGGGGGGGATCTACACTCGGAAGCGGGGACAGCTGCCTCGCCAGGCAGAGGGACCACCAGCAGCAGCGGCAGCAGCAAAGGTGTTAAGAAAGCCATTTCGCCTGCTAATGAGTGTCGGTGTAAATGTGTGTGTGTGTTAGTGTGTGTGTGCGTGTGTACAAGTCCTTGTCTTGGCTTACCTGTGCCTTGTGCCTGGTGCCTTGCCGAGGCTTGAGCTGAAGAGCAAACAAAAATGTTTTCATGTTTGGGCATGTCAACAGATTTGTCCCTTCCAGTTTACCCGTCGTCCACGCCCCCCGCCCAGTTTGACGCCCTCATTCGGCCTACGCGTGGGTTTCTTGTGTGCAAAAGCATTTTGCTTAATTAGTTACAAACATTTAAACACGAAAAAAATAAAAACGGAGTGTCCAAAAGGAATTATCTACCTCAGGCAGACAGGCAGACTAAGTTTAAGGGTCATACATATGTATATGTTTGCGTAACTTCCAAAAAGGGAAGCCGCTCGTCAAGCAACTGACTCTGACAGATTTGATTAAGGATGTCTGATAACTAACTGATAAGCACTCGAATACACTGTCAAAGTCAGCTTCGTTTTAATCATGTCAAAGAACTTACACCTTAAACATTACTTGATAAAGCCATTTGATTTGGATTGGTATCTAGCCTACAAAAGACATCCTAAATGAAAATATTTTATATGATTCGACTGAGACTTCAACTGAAAGTTATCTGCGTGTACATATCACAGAGTTGATCAATCAATCAATCAATCAATCGCAATTGATTCACACCTTTAAAATTAAGTCTTCATTTAAGCATGTAATTATTCTTATGTAAGATGTTAAAGTAATACATCAGCATATCACAAAGTTTTTCAATCAGTCGATCAATCAAGATTGATTCGGTAATTAGCTGAAATATGCCAACCGTTTAAACGAAGTCTTTATTTAAGCATGAACTTATTCTGATGTACGATGTTAAGCAAATAATATGATTAACACAAAGTTGATCAAGCAGTCAGTCAATCACAACTAATTCAATCTTCAATGAATTTAACCCTTCTTTGAAATCAAAGTCTTAGCTTATTAAATTGAATAAATGGCATATCCTTTGATTTACTATAGATATAAACCGTGTCCATTAACAATTAACGGTGTATGCATTTAACTATGTTAATCAATCAATCAATCGCTATTAATTGAATCGCTATTGGCTGAATATTTTTCTACTATTTAAATAGTCTTTATTTATAGAAGGAAAGAAATTATTTTAAATAAAACTAAGCTGCGTATGCATATCATACCAGTCAATCAATCAATCAATTCTTAAGTCCCTGAGAACAAGGCAATTTAGCAGACGGACAGATAGTGTGGGGAAATAAAACAGATTTTTATAAAAAGAATTTGAGCCTGTTAATGAGTGAACTTACAGAACCAATTACTTTTACAGAGAAACTCAAAATGCTGGACATTACGCGAGACAAGCCTGTGAAGGTGTCTGTCAAAGTGGCCGTGCCGGTGCGGGATCACCCGAAGGTGAGTCAAATACCTGACATAATCAGGCTTATGGTAATAACTTTTTGCCATTTGCCAGTTCAATTTTGTTGGCAAGCTACTGGGACCGAAGGGCAACTCGATGAAACGGCTCCAGGAGGACACAATGTGTAAAATGGCCGTGCTGGGACGCGGCTCGATGCGCGACCGCCGGAAGGAGGAGGAGCTGCGTGCCAGCGGCGACAGTCGTTACGCCCATCTCTTTGAGGACCTGCACGTTGAGATTTCAACATTTGCGGCGCCCGCCGAGGCTCACGCTCGTATCGCCTATGCCCTGGCGGAAGTGCGTCGGTTTCTGGTTCCGGTGAGTGGTCCCAACATGGGCGGGGGGCCTTTATTGGTATTTCAGCTGTTTCTGCACAACTTGCAGGCGTAAGTGCTTAAAGTTGCCGCCGCTTCTTTTATTGAGCGCACACAAAATCTTAAATTTGTTCTCAAGTCCAGGACCTGGGCAGCCACTGGGCTGCTGCAGCTGCTGCTCCAAGGTTGCACTCGTTATCGACTCCAGCTTCCGTCTGCTGCTGGCTGCATCGCAACGTCCTCCGTCAGCTGCCTTCGTGGCACGCCAACACGCCTCGCTGACTAAATTGCATTGTGCTGTAATTACATTTGCCACCCCCTTTTGGCGCTCCATAAACTTCGCACTCGACGCTGTCGAGCTGCCGATGTCGCCTCTGTCCATTGTGTGGTTCCTGGCACGCTATCACCATGCCATGGCATCTCCATCTCCATCGCCATCGCCACAGTCATTGCATTCTGGCATCGCGTGTGTTCTCTGTTCTGTGTCCGTTCTGCTCCGCAGTATCCCTCATCCACTTGAGATACAAACGGTAACCATTTAGTATCCTCGATGCTCGTTTACAATCCTTCCGCTTCCATCGGCCAGCTGGAGTGCACATGTTCACATGTTCACATCTTCACATGCCTCGCTATGATATTTATTTATTTATTTATTTTGCTTTGCTCTCAATGAAAAACTACGTATGCACCTTAAATTATAGCCTCCCACTTGCCCTGAATAGCTGACCCAAATCGTATCTAAAATATCCTTAGCTCGAATTCTATATCCTGGGTTGCTTTCAAGCGACTGTTACAAAATTGTATATTCACTTTAATTTAGATCCGTTTGAATTTTATTTTAAGTTAAAAGTCGTAAATTTAAAAGGTAAGTCCGTGTAATTTAATACTTATGTTATAAAAACTGAAAGTTTCCATTGTGTGCAACACACAAAGATTGGTTTTTAGTTCTTTCATTCTTCAAAGAATAATATGTACTTTACGAAGTTAAGGGCTCGAGCTCCCGAGAAAATTATTTAATTTATTTAAAAGTTATTTTCTTAAATAAATGTATTCAAATAAAATTTTGTCAAGACAATTTATGCCAAGGAAATTGAATAGAAGCAACATTATTATCGCTTTAGGCCAGTAATAAATAAATGTTAAACTTCATTAACAGCTAGCTCTTGGATTTTGGAGCTAAATTGAATTTTGAAAATTAAGATTTAAACAACAAAACATCAAAGCTTGGGCAAAATATCCAGAGACATGTGTTGCCAGCTGCAGGTTGTGAGTAACACACGAGCGAACCTCTGACACGCAACTGTCAGAGGCATAAATTTTCTTTGGCCGCGGTTTGGAAGATTTCAGATCTGATGACACACACAAAATTTGCATAGAAATTATTTCAATTTTATGCTCGTATGTGAGACGCATAAGCTGTTTCAATTTAGATAAATAACATATATAAGGCTTATGACACGAAACAATATGTGTGTGTGTGCCATATCCTGGCAATACCTCGGCTCTTGTATTGTTTATGGCAGCTGCCATAGCGATTTATGGGGTTGATTGTCCTGCGAGCAGGCAGCTCCAACAACAGCCAGTCGAGTGGAATCTAATGAAATTAGTAGTTGGATCTTAGACATATTAGGGATTCACACTGAACTAACCATAACTCGGTTAATGTTGCCAAATAAAAAAGTATTAACACAGCCGCAGCTCCTGCTCCTTCTGCTTTTTTACCTCCATCTCGAAGATAGCTGCCAAATTGTGGTGTGTATCCGTTTGCCTAGGTTGCCTCTGCTGCTCCTCCATAATTGCATTAAGCATGAGCACACACTCACACACACTCACACAGCCGTATTTATTGCTCTGCTTCAACGCGCACCCACCCCTCGCATGTACTGGGTCACCCAAGGAGCAGAGAGGATGAGATGTGCTGTGGATGCGAATGTGACACTCGCAAACTTTTAATTGACATCCAATAAAATTCGCATTTATTACGCGCACTGAGAACGCCTGAATTAAATTTAATTGCTAGACGAGACAAAATGCAGCTTTTATGACCACCCCCAATGCCGGCAGCGAGGTGTCAGCATGGTCAGGGCACATGGCAACCCATTGTTAATCGTGTATTGCACTGTGTACTCTTCCACAGGACTACCATGACGATATCCGACAGGAGCAGATGTGGGAAATGCAGGCACTGACGTCCACGCCCACGCTGAGCCACCTCGACGACTCACAGAGCCCGACCAATACCAACCGCGGCCTGGGCGGTGGCTTGGCAGACATGGACACGTCCAACGACGACAAGTCTGACAACGATACCAGCGGCATGGACTGCCTCTCGCCGGACAAGCTCGACTGCGGCCAGTCCTGCAGCAGCAGTGGTGGCGGCGGCGGCGGTGGCGGCGGTGACACCCACCCACATCATCAGCATCACCAGCACCAGCACCAGCCAGCGCACTTCCATCAGCTACTCCAAACGCATGGAGGCGCCAGCGCTGCAGCTGCAGCTGCCGCCTGTGGGGAGCATCTCACTGGACAGGCGAATACTGCGACAGCAGCAGCACGTGAGTACCTCCAGCAGGGCAAATGTAATTACCGCGAACAAAAAATGGGAATGGCAAATAAGATTGAGAATGGATAGTTTCTCGCAGCGGAGCCAGCCATTGTGATTCGCATTAAGCAAATGCAATTTTAGTGCAGTAATCAAATTTCTTGATCTATATAAAATTATCCAGCCATTCAACCAACGCAGTTGAATGCAACGTTTCGAAATACTTTCGAGGGATATGCAGAGGAAATGGTGTGCCACAAAATATACATTCTTATTTTTTTATAAATATTCAAAAGTAAAAATTCACTTACATTCACACGCAATAGAGCCATCTATTATATAAATCCAGATTTGAAGAAATACATATCAGAGTGCTAGAGTGGGATAGAGGAGAAGGAGTATATTAGAGTGAGCGTATGATCAGAAAAAAATGTTATTAAATTACTCGCACAGCTTGTAAAACCAAAGGCAGCTGACCTTACTTGAATTCATGAGAATTGCATAGAAGGGCGATATTTAAAAATATTCAATTTGCTGCGCAGCAAGAGGAATTATGAAAAATGTATAAAACATAAGGCGGCATTTGTTATAGGAAAACATAAATAGCAGATATTACCCGTCCTTTCCCGACCAAAGTTTTTATCATAATAAATTCCCTTCTACTTAAACATACGTATGTTGAGCTATAGACCTAAATACAGGGCATCTGCCACCTGCGGGGCGATTGCATATACTCTCTGAAATCACAATTACCACTTCATTTCAGTGCACACCACAGCAATGGCTGTGGCGTTGCAGCATCAGCTGACGGCTGCCGGCATAGGTGGACTTTTGAAGCCGTCGCCAGGCATGGGAGTGGCCGGTGCCATGTCTGGCCTGCCCACAACGCAGGGCGGCTCCGCGGCACTGCAGCTGACCGGCGATGGAGAGGCAAACACATCGACATTGACGCTACTGGAACCGCCTGGAGCACTGCTGCATCCTGCGCTTCGCAACGTGAAGGCCATCAATATAGGTTAGTTGCAGCGAATTGGCCAGGCGGTGCTCAGCTTCGTTTATCATTACAGGTAGCGGCCTGGGGCGCAAGCGACCGCTGCTGGGCGTTCCACGATCCGGCATGAATCCGACAAAGCGCACCGTGATGAGCCTGCTGGCGCGGGCCAAAAACTCCCAAGCACTTCACACAGTGCGCCAGCCCGTGGTCACCGCCACAAGTTTTGCCGAGTAATTAGCGCTGTGCCTTGGAGTCTGTTTGGAACACAATTTGAATTCCCTCTCTCTCTCTCTCCCCCCTGTCTGCATTTTCAGGCCCCTCCAGATGCTGGCCTCACCCTTCATCATTCCGCACCAGGGCATGGATCAGTCCATCATAGCGCTGCCCAAGGAGAGTCTCGCCCAAGGCGTCTAACCCTATGACTTTTATACGCTGCGCACCGCAGATGGTCGCACCTGACCGCCTACAATTTGCCCCGCCTCCTTCTTCTAAAGACACAAATAAGTTAGGCTTACCAAATACAATTTATGAAATACGCTTTCTTAACATAAGATTCGAATCTATTGAGGAGCACACGCCCGACCATAGCGAATATTCCGCTTTGTATAACCAACTCGTAAGCGTCTTTGAAGGAGCAGCTGTGGGATCGGGGTTAGCCGACGATTGAATGCCCTACCAATACCAGAAAGCCTATCTAAGCACACGATTTGTTTTAAGCGAATTACAAAATAAATAACGCAAGTATTTTTAATGCGATGTTTTATTTCCAAACAACCCCCCCAAAAAAAGGAGAAACCTAAACGAATAAAAAAAAAACAAAAAACAAAAAAAAAACTAAATTAGTGTCAAATTAACGAAAAACTTCAATAGAATTAAAATGTAAACGCAATTACTTTAAATAAATTACTTTAAATAAATATACACACACACACACACAATTGCAAGTACCATATATATATATACATACACAAATATATATATATATATATACATACAGCAAATATATATACACTATGCATACTTATATGTACTTAAATCTATATATTTAAATGAAAATGTGTTGGAAGTAAACAAAGAGAGAAAAAACAAACAAGAAAAACTAACCTAAACACACGCCACATAAATTGATAATAATTTTTGGAGTATTTTAAAATGCAACTCAATAAAATGCATCGACGGAGCTAAGTACAAGAAGAACAGAAAAGCTTAACGACCACAACTAACACATACACTTTATTTATGTTGACTAATCGAGAAATTGGCCATAGAACTGCTTCAGCTAAGCATATTATCCAATATTTATGTTTTTGCATATATTTGGAGCACAGTACCCGTAGTACATATATAGATGAAATTCCAAAGCCTGGATTTAAGTGATCAGATGTGGATCCCACCGCCTTCAGCTTGTTTCATATTGAACCCAAAGCAAATGTCGTTAACATACAAAAATTGTTCGGTTTCAGTTCAAACACAGACAAAAGTTTTCAATAACATCGAATGCAACGAATTCTACACCAATCTTTTGCAGAGAGAATTTTCATAAATTCGAATTTCTTCAAATTATTTAAATTGATGCTTACATAATTTTCGAAGAGCTTGGGCCTATCCTCAGCCAGGTTTAAAGCTCTGTTCTAGCTGATTTTGCATCGTTTCTGAAAGTAAGTCGAATAATAATAATTAAGATTAGCATGGATTGCAGTAACATTATCTATTTTGCACAAAATGCAAGGAATTTTAGTCCAGTCTCGTTAAAAACTAAATATATTTGATTTCAAATATGCGCTCGCTAAATAGATGAGGTAAAAATATGCTGAGTACGTTTGTTGAATGAACAAATTATAAAATCTAAATGTGCACCCAAATGCATTCATAACTAAGTATAACCAATATGAATACGAATACAAATACGAATACGAATACGAATACGAATACATACAAACATAAATAGAGTATATGCATTAATGTTCAACAGTTTAATCAAAAGGCATATTTACAATTTACAAGCAAAACAGAATATAATAAAACCAAATATTGATATTGATGTTGAAAGAAACCAACCGTGTAAAGTCCTAAAAAATAAAAATAATAAAAACGCAAAAAAAAAAAAACGATTACTCGTACCTACATAAATAACTGCATGTAGTGAAACTCAAATATTAATATGCAAATTTAATTAAATAATTAATTAACTTAAACGGTACTCGTACACACAATATTGATGTGAGTAATTGCAGCCACACAACCACCACAGCTTCGAGCTATTCAAAAATAAATGTAATATTTTAAAAATACAATAAATCGCAGACATTTTCAATGTTTTTCTTACTATAAATATATCTTAGCCTAGGGCCAAACAGTTATTAAAATCAATTGGTCATCGTTCAAATATGTAAAAGAATACAACAAGATGATACCCTGTAACCGGCTGCGAGCTTACTATGTTCGATATCGCTATCCTATTTTCCAGACTGCGAGAGCTAAAGACGCCAATGTAATGTATGTACAAACTTAAGTGTAGTACAGAACATCTCGTTTGTTGGATACATTCCACCTTCGTCCGCATAATTGAAAAAGTTCTCCTTTTTTTATCCTGAACCCATTGAAAGCGGGTAAGTTATAACCTTGGGATTTGATATTTACATATATTCGGATGCAAGATTAATAGCCTAGAATTTCTATACAGATCGGACTATAGACACTGGAGTTATTAAAGGAATGTTTTAAAGAAAGTTTTCAGTTCGCTTTTCCTGCTATCTCCTGACCAGAGTACTTTTACTTGTTACTAAGTGAACTATGATATAGTTTAGTTTTATTATTAGAATAGGTCTTGCTTTCATACATTGATTTATTTAGCTGACGTATAAATCACCCAAAGTTCGATCTTGTACATTTAAATGGATTCATTATTTTGTCTGTTTAGCTTGCTTTGGTAACAGGAAGCAGGCAACATGAAAGTTGAAACAATTATCTATAAATATCCGTAAAACAACTCCTCCTCGAGCCAACTGCCGGGAAAACGCCTGAAAATATAACGACGAGCGGTTTCTAGAAATATATTTAACACAATCAGTGGAAAAATATGCCAGAACACCGGTGTATAGCTGCGGAAAGGGAGTTAAATAAATTATATTTTCCAGAATTTTTTCAAACCCACTGCACTGGCGAAGTTCGCAAATAGTCTGGATTATTTAGAACTGTGAACAGAAAGCCAAGACAGACCATATAAACGACGGCAATATTCAAACGAACATTGGCAAAGCCATGTTTAAGTAGATTTTCATGTCCGGTCTTGGTCAATATTAAATTGATGCACTGCATTATCACCAAGGTGATGAAAACAACCGAGGAAATTTCATACTCCAGCTGCTTGCGAGCCGCTCTAGTCTGCAATTAAAGTGGAGAGCGGGCTTAAGATGTACACCTTGGCAATGCCAAATAAGAGCTTGCCCATTCTTGCCCATAGGAGTCGACCAAATCATTAACGGAGTCATCGTACCAGTCCACGCCGAGACCTATCAAATGCCTGGGCAGAAATCCATTATATGCCATGTAAACAAAATAAGAGATTAACACGGCGCTGGCCTCAATGATGCCCACTTGTAGGTAGGCCACAAAAATCAGGCTAAATGGGTGAGGCTTGTTAACAACAAAAACATGACAAAAGATCGGAGCCGAGGAATTACCGTCTGTTGATCAGATGGTCGTCAAAGACTTTCGGCTTCAGATTCATGAGATCTACCTCGGGCCGTTCATAGAACAGCGACAGGGCAGGCAACTGGCAATGTTTGAAGGCAGCGTAAATATTAGATATTGTAAGGCTTAACAGCTTACCGCGTTCACAAAAATGTCTAGCAGCAGCAAAATGATCAAAAACAGTCGAAATGGAATCAGTAATATAATAAATGACAAGTGCACCATAATCACAGCCATATTCGAGGACAGGGCATAGGCCAAAGCCTTTTTCATATTCTCGAACAGCAGGCGGCTCTCCTCAATGGCATTCACCAGCGTTACGAAATTGTCCTCCAGCAGAATAATATCGGCCGAGGATTGGCTCGCATGCGAGGAGGCGCACTCGGCAACGCCCACGTTCGCCCGTCGGATGGCGGATGTGTCATGCACGGAACTGCCGATCACGGTGACCACAGCGCCCAGCTGTTGGCACACATCGACAATCATGTAGCGCTGCTCGACAGCAATGTCGGCAAAGACCAGATCCACGTGGGCCATCAGCAATTGCTGTGTGTCCCAGCGCTGATGATGCAGCTTCTTTTGCCAGTTCTGCATGTTGATCGTAGCCGCTGTGATCATGCTGCGCTTCACTTCCGACTCGAGTATGTTGAGGCGTGCCGCCACATCTTCAATGGTTTCGCTATCCTGGCCAATGACACCAACAGTTTTGGCAATTGCCCGAGCGAAACTCAGATCGGCACGGGTCAGTAGCACCAGTTTGATGCAAGCTGAGCGGCAACGATCCACCGCCTTTCTCACATTCAAAATGGGCGGATTGAATATGGATATTAGGCCCAGAAAGCACAGGGAGTTGCAGTATAGTTTCATGAATTTGTCAAACGACCTCTTCTCCTTATTAGCAAAACCGTTCGCGATCAGCGACAGCATTTGATCATCAGGGCTCAACACCTTAGAGCCAAAGGCAGATGTGTGCCGGCCTATCTTCTTCAGCCTAATGACAGTATCAACAATGGTATCTCGATGAATATCGTCCAGTTCCACCAGCTCGTTGTTGACATAGCAAGTGCTGCTATGGCCAAGGACCACATTCCAGAAGCCTCTCACGAAAAGATAATACTTTTTATCTCCATTCGCGTCCACTGTTTGGTGTACGCTCACCTGCATATGGGTCACCGTGTCATACGCTTTGCTAGCCAATATCTCATATTGGCGACGCAACTGCAAAATGCTGGGGAAGACGCGCATGCCAAACTTTAGCAAAGCCTTTTCATAGTCGGTTCCGTCCAAAGTCTTCAGCATACGCGGCACGCCCCTCTGGCCGGGAGTCAAATTGGCCCGATTACATAGCACCGAAACGCGTATTAGCTCCAGGACACGCTCGTTCAGATCCGCTAAGCGAAGATGTTCGGCATTGTTCAGTTCACCATCGACAAACAGCTCCGAGACTGTCCAGCTGCGGACTGTCAAAGATCCAATTAAACTGCTGCATATAACTGTCGTTAAGCCCAGCGTAGAGGCAGCCTCCATGTTTCGAACATAACAACCACTCTCGAGCAGAGTACGTTTCGTCTGCCACAGGCCGAAGAACATGAGGGTGGGCAGATACAAGGGAGCCAAGGAAATAGTCAGGCTCACATTGAACTCTATCAACATCTGGAAGGTCAGGCCCTCCACCGAAATCGTACAAAGCAGGATGAAAAACATCAATATGCTCACGATAATTGTATAATACGTAACCTGTATAAAATCAGAAATTCATTTGAATTTTATATTCCTTTTATGGAAAGAGTTAAAACGGAAAAGTGTGGAAGAATTAGAAAATTTAGAATGGATGGGGTCGGAATTAACTTGAAGCCCATCTCAGAACTAGTTAATTTGACAAAACGTGATCTGACCTCTTTAATATGCCTACGGGGTCTGCTGCGGGGACGAGGTTCCATGCTCAGCCGCGCCATAATCCCGACTTCCGAATCATTGCCACAGGCTATGACCAAACCCTCCCCATAGCCCTTTGTTACATGACTGCAGGCAAAGCCCACATTGCGAGCCACCCATTTGTCCCTATTGGTAAGATCTGGAGAAATTATCACGGGCACCGAATAGCCGGTAAGGGCCACATTATTGACTTCCAAATCGCGCGAGATAAAGAATCGAACATCTGCCGCAATGCGTTCCCCATAGGTGATCAGTAGAATGTCACCCAAAACAACATCTTCCG